TTCTAGAGCCTACTTGTCGCGGTTCACCTATGGATTCCACACTTGAACGGCGTACTCCGCGTGTGGTAGAACGAATGCTGATAGCAAGCCTGGGAACAGTACTCTTTCGAACTACCCGAAAACACGTCTGAGTAGTCCAACTTGCTTTATAGCCATGGATGATACTCTGGTACAGTGCGGGGAACATCCTACGTCCTCCTGTAATATAACTCCCAAATCCTTCTCGTCAGTAGCATGTGGTAGTATTTGATTCCTCAGAACAGAGGAGAAACCAGTCTTGTGCCGCATAGAAATACCTGTGCATTTGACAACGTTGAAGTAGAACATGAAATGACCAAACCCATAATCGTGTAGGTAAAAGTTAGAGCTGTGAACTTTTATTTGCTATTACGATTGTATAGATTTATCCGTTGGTATGCTTTTCTGTGCGCCAATGAGCTGCCCAGTTCTCGTATAACAGTAAGTCACTAAGGGCGGTCATGTGGGAAAACAAATTTGATTCTGCTTTCTACAGACCGTCTGTGAATATGACTGAGCAACGATCGGTGACAACCTAACAATTATTTTAAAATGCAGCAGCCAACAAGCCATTTATTGTTGATTCATCTGCTGCCCAATCATTGAAAACTATCGCATCCGGAAAAAGATCGATAACAACTGAGAAGAAAAACATTTTAGTTGAATATCATGTGGAATAATTGCATCTCGTAATACGGAGCCGGATTTATTGCTTTCAGACCTTTGAAAGTCACACTAAGGATGCTGTTTGGCCTGGATACAAACCGTCTGCAGAAAACTGCAATTTCAGCTCGGAGATTCCTCCAACACTGAAAAGCATGTTAGTTCCCCAAGTGAATGTTGCTCACATCCAGCTCCTGAGATATACTGTTTGGTTTGTTTTACTAGGGGGAATGTGTGTATAACTGTGTTGAGTTTAAAGATTACCAACGGAGAACGATTGCTCTTATGCAAGGCAACAATAAACAAGCAGATTACGATCGTTTCCATTCTGTGGTCAAAATGCGACTCCTAACTTCTTTTCATCGAGCGCTGGGAACCAAACTGAGGAGAGGGAAATGCCTTGATCACATTAATTACCTGGTCAGACTTCACAAGGGGCGAAACCTGGGCCTAATCGCTCCACTGTTCGCATGGAAATGGGTTCGGACAGAAAGAGACAGCAGAAACAGGCAATTTATCTATAGATTTGAAACGGAATGGTAGCCTGGAGCTTCGCAGCGATAAATGTTTTCTGTATAGCTATAACCTTTCTGTCTGTTTACACATCGGCATTTATATCAAACTAAAATGATAGCAAAATGTAAACCAGTTCCTTTCTTTTCTTGGGAACCGGTGATACCTCAGAACACTTTCAAAGAATTATTCTAGGTAGCCTATCGGAAAGAAAGCTTCTTCAATATGTGTAAGTTTGATCTCACTTATATAGCTTGTGTGTATTCTTAGCACCTTGGTGGTTAGGCACTGGGTCAGGTTTTCCTCTCCTTTTAATTTTACAAAGCCATGGCTTCCAATGGTCGCGTACGGAAGAATTCCGGTTAACTGAAGGCTTCATAAAATGTTTACGGATGCTATCTATTCATTTTCTTATCTTCCAACTGTAACATATTTGGATGTACTGAGTCAAACACTTATTAATCTGTGGAAATTCACGCTAATGTTAATGAAACAAAGTGCGATTGACATACCGTCCGTTAGAGGATGTTATTCTGCAGCCTGGCACGGTTTTGATATTTATTGTTTGATAGATTTGGGATTTTTCAGTTTGCAGCTGTGATCAGTATTCTTGGCAGAATTTGAAACCGTTCATGGGTTCAATTGAAACTACTTTCGGTTGCAATTTGTGTGGCTTTCTTTGCTCTGATGCGTATGTACCAGTGACTAAACTATTCCTCTTTAATGCCTGTTGGCTTGTCTTCCTTTTAATTTGTCCATATGTTATGTGGAATGAGTGATAAAATAGGGTGAGCTGAGTAAAACTACGATTAAAACGTTGAAAAGGAGGACTTTGCGGGTCTGCTTTTGAAATGACCGGTGTTCTCAAAATGTTTAGTGATATGTCGCCTNTGTCATTAACAGAGTTCATAGGGGTGTGTGATGATTATAAAACCGCAAACAGCTTGTTCGATACACGCAGAAAGAAAGAAAGAGGGACTTCAAAGTTGACTACCAGATTCAGCAGCATCGTACAATTTAGACATGGCGTTAACGGTGTAACCAAACCATTGTGTTTACTATGAAGGATTTACCACTATCAGTAAGCTTACGATATGGAAACGTTTTTCTATCCCCTTTCTGTGCGGAATTAGTGTTCGTGGTGATCAGGGCTTTTCGTTACGAGGTTCAAACGGGGGTCGCGCATACCCCCCATTTCCGTCCGGTTCAATACCGAGATCCACCTTATTGTGGCCTCAAGTGGGGCCCAATAAGTTCCAGTGGTTGTTACGCTTTCTCATAAATGAGATTATCGTGAGAATGAGATTATTTGTTTTATGATTTATTGTGCATTGTTTTACAAAAATATCGCTCCTATTTCTCCAGCTAGTCATAAGGAGCTAATGTGAACAAATTCAAGAAAATGTCAAGTGATTGATTTCCTTACGCGTGCGTTGATCGCGATTGTGGCCTTGGAGAACGATTTTGATATTGAAATGGGCACAAAACGTAAGAAGTGCTGACGTTATCCAAACAGGGCGAAGCAGTTGTCCAGTGCCATTTATCGGTCATCATAAAGATATCCACAGCATGCCGATGCATTTAATTGGTGGGGACTTAACGACCTCTATTCACACATATCGCATACAACGTCGTAGAAACAAATGACCTAAACCACTGTAACAGCCAAAACGTCTCGTACTGACCTGCAGGTGTCGTAAAACGACTGGTTAGAACTACGTTGTTTTTTATAGCGCCAATAAGACGGACAAGCAACATGTAGCCGAAAACGGATACCGAAAACGATGATAATATTGTTTCAATTCAAAGGGCTCTGTTCACCGTAATACACTGTTCAAGCCAATGTCTGCATTCACTTAGTTACCAGCGTTGGACGCGGAACGATAGTCGCAACCCGGTGGATAAGTACGTATAAGGGAAAAGAAATCTGCCTTAGGGTCATTGTTTTAACGATGAACACAGCGGGCGGTGCGGTATGCGAAATATAAATTATGATTCATGGTTGATCGCACCGCAAATGGGATCAGTAAGTGGGTGCAAACATGGACGTGGAGAGAGGAGTAGGTGTGAGTGTGGACATGTAACGGGCGACTAAGTGAAGAGGAATCATTCCCATTAGAGAAACTGAAATAGTATCAATGATTACCCAACAGGTTAATACGTTTGTTGATCGATATTAAGTTCAACTCTCCATCAAAGAGAACGGTGCACATTGAGATTGAACCATGTGAATCCAGGATCTTATACCCGTAGGGGTTACTTACTTTTGCGACTTATTTTATAAATGGTTGACTCCACGCACCACAGAACTTCGAAGTGGTTTGTAAATCTATGGGACCAATCAAGAGATAAATGACTAACCAACGTTCGAATTCGTCGACATGATGATTTATTGTTGTATCTTGATGTGGTATCAATACACAGGAAGGTTTCACCCATTGAAGCGGTCGAAATAAACTGTACGAACATCGAGCAACATAGAATCGTAATAAAACTGTCAGTCGGAACACTAAAAGGACTCCTCCTAGCATGCACGCGTGGGGTTCAGTTTATATTTAAAGGAAAATTGTATCGTCAGGGAGATGGAGGTGCTTTGGGCTTTCCACCAGGATGGATGCACCTAATTTTCAAAGCTGATCGAATCTGTAGTTGGCTATTCCTTTACCGGTGTTTATAACGCAACCTCACTGGCTGAGCGGCGAGAAAACGTTCCCGAAAGGTTACAAAGCATGGTTCACGCTGGTTTGGATAGGAATCGCTGTTGCCGTTCTCCTCCCAGAATCAGGTCTCCAAGGGAAGCTTGAATCAAACCATACAGTTCCTTCTCGGGCACCATCGCTCCCACGCAAAACATTGCGCCATCACACCTTAGCCACTGTGGAAAATAAGGACATTCGTTCGTTCACTTTCAATCTTCGCAAACAAAAGAGATTGTCTCTGTCATCCAATCACCATGACCGAGGATCGATTTCACTTGAGGCATATTACAGCCCGATTGTAAATTTGTGGTGACCCAATTCTCTCTCACCCAACCCGTCACTGTGACCTATGAACCACTAGAAGTTTTCCCTTTTAATGTGTCTCTTCCTCTAGATGATCTGTGCAGACTAGAAAATGAATCAGAAGCAACGATTGCTCACTTCTGAACGTGTGTTCTCATGAACATTAAATGACGATAGTAGTGATCTTACCTAAAGTATTCCCTTTCAACACTAACCAACAAAGTAGTTTCGGGTAGGATGCAGCAGATGTGAGCAAATCTCTGCCCTTGATGTAACTCAAACCATGATTCTTTTATTTGTACTGAACTACATACTCTTGAGCTACACTGTTGATGACCTATTCATGGTTACGGGTGATTGGTATTATTTTTGGATGTGCGTTGCCTTGCCTGAGTTCAAGTTCAAATGGCTAGTAAAGAATAAACAGTTTCTTTTCTCCTCCGATCATGTTTTGTGAAATGCCAATCACCAACGGACACAACGCCCATCAATAGCAATATGACAAGCGTGATTTTTCCGCACGTGCCTGGAGTTTATAATTAACGATTCTGATTGGTGTAAAACTGACCAATCTAAATCGAGGGATTTGCACTCCGTTCCCCCGCATTTTGATTGGCCAGACTTTAGCCCATCTCTTGTGTCTTAAACATCAAATCACAATATGAGGTATTCACCACAGCGGAAGAGCTTCACCATTTTATTTGTACTATGTGGCCGATGTTTTTGACTCGGGTTTGATTTGCCATGTCTTGGATTATATCATGCAATCCATCTCCGCGACTCGTTTTGACATGGAACTTAAGTATGCATCTACTGGTTTTTATCTACCACTTAGTCAGTTACGTGTGCACACCACAAGCTGCTTCCTCACCACACAGTAGAGTATTTCACGCTAATATTATCGAGGAACAACCAAGGGATACACAAATCATCGACTTAAACAAGCAACTCCAATCGGACAGTTCATTTCCGGTGAATTTTTCCCAGTTCACTATTGTGGCAAGCAACCCAATCATCTCACGATTCGTCCATATTAACTCGCAAAGTGGAGTTCTATTCTCCAGCAAAAAAATTGATCGGGATGTATTGTGTAATATGTACAAGTTGTGCTGCACCACTGTGGACACTCAAAATAGGGTAGACACTGGGTCACCGCTCATACATACGTTCCGTCGTACTGCGGACACATGTCAATTTGTGTTCCGTGTAATATTCAAAGCCACCGACAATAATCCCTATCTGTTCAGTACTCGATCTCAGGATGTTTCCGCAGAAGCGGGAACCAGTGTGAATCAAACTGTTATAGACCGGAAGCATATCACCGAACGGACAGAATACTGCACGGTTGTGATCAATATTATAGACATTAATGACAATGCACCCCGTTTTTTATTACCTCGTGACGTAGAGAAAAATCTTCATCAAACCTCGGTATCTGGATCCATTCGAGCTCTGAGCTATGATCCGGTGACGTCTATTGAATTAAGTGTGGATGAACTAACCGAGGTGGGAACGTGTTTTAAACTACCTATTGCTGTGGATGAGGATTCCAGTCCGTATAGCGTACAAGAATATCGAATGGATAAAATCTCACCATCCGAGTTGATGCCAGTTGCAATTCACGTGATCAATCGCACAAAGGCTGTCGATTTATACGAATCACAGGAACTGTTCAGCCTTGTTCAGTCCCAATGTGATCCAATTATGTGGACTGAAGCGTCCTATCATTCGAGCCAAATAGACAGTGGTCTTCAATCAATCAGATCTGACAATATGGGCATAGAATCGCATACGGGCTCAACCGAAAAAAACTCATATGTATATTTAAGATTGGCAAGTAAACTGGATAGAGAGTATCGGGAAGAGCATTGGATCAAGGTAATAGCACTGGACGGACCAATAGATCCGGTGGTTTCTTCTCAAGTACCGGGTTCTAGTGGTCGAAAATCAATTGTGTTCCGACGCCATACCGGGACCCTGCTGATACGGATCAGAGTACTGGATGCAAACGACAACGATCCGGAAGTTTCACCTCGATTGGAATTTCAAGTGCCGGAAAATGCGAAAATCGGCACAGTGATCGGAGTAATCACAGGTAGTGATCGAGATATGGGTGATTATGGTCGTATACACTATCGCTTGGATACCGATAGTCGTCGATCGGCTGAGCAAATACCGTTCGCAATCAATCCGAGCACGGGTACAATCACAGTAAGTCGTCCACTGGATGCCGACCGCATGCCGGAAGAATCGCAACGTAGACATCGATTTCGTGTGATTTGTGCCGATTCGGCACCCGCCGGGCAGCAACGGTCTGCCACCACAGAGGTGATTGTTCAACTGATCAATGTAAACGATGAGACACCACAAATAAAAGTGGTAGACTTACAAAGTCGAAGTAGTCCTCCGAGACCGTCAGTTTCGGAAAATCAACCAGCAGGTCAGCTAGTCGCTTTTGTCACTGCCAGTGATGCAGATAGCGGGTTGCATGGAACAATAACTTGTCAAGTTTCAAATAACAAATTTCAACTAGAGCCAATCAATTCTGGCTTCCCCGCTTCCTCTGCCGTATCCACATCACTATCCGTATCGTCATCCTCATCCGACCTCAGTGGCTCCGTTGGGATAGATCCGTTTGTACAAACTGGAACAAACACAGCAAACGAAATCGAATTCCAACTCGTGACACGGGTATCGCTCGATCGAGAACAGTCTATGATAGAAGCGGTGGAAATCGTCTGCACTGATCAGGCACTAGTGACCACTGATGTACGAACCGGTCGCATTGGTTTTAATGTGCTTGTTCTCGACGAGAACGATAACGATCCCCAATTCACCACAGACACTATTCGAATTCGATTATTGGAAAATAGCCCGGTTAATCAATTAATTGCCGTGCTAAATGCCACTGACGCTGATCAATCCATCCCGGCGGTATCCGGCAATTCACCCTGGCACGGTGGGATGGCATTTCTGCCAACGGGTTATGAATACCCCAGTATGATCCCAAGCCCGAGTAATCGTCTGACGTATGTGCTCGATGCGGAGGGGGAGAAGTATTTTCGTCTGGACGCGCACACTGGTGCACTGTACAGTCGCGTACACTTTGATCGTGAAGTCACATCGCATTTGGAATTCAATGTGACTGTGGTGGATGGGGGACAGCCGCCGAGAAACGTCACGGCTCGTGTACATNGACGAAAATGACAACGCGCCCCAATTCGAAAGAGAATTGTACGAAGTTGAGTTATTGGAAAATGTACCGACGGGGCAAATAATTGCCACAGTTTACGCCACTGATCAGGATAGTGGAATCAATGCGGAAGTAATTTATCAAATGGAAGACTTGATGGTAAGTTAGTGTCGCCTAACTGTCATTCTTGATCGGTATACTGGGGAAATGATGAGCGACATTGGGAATGGCTTCTTCGTTTTACAGTTTACAGTTTAGACGTCAGTGATCTGATGATCGAAGTTCCACGTAATCAAACTTTGAACGATTTAGCCACCAGGAAACCAGTTGAATCACAGTTACTAAAAAATTATAATAAAAACTATCTGCTTCAGCCATGTTGTGTGATTTTAGAAACGTGATACTGGTTCACGGCCTGCCTGTATGCGAGTAAAATAGAATCAGTTTCAGACGTCTTCTAATGAATAAAAGCAAATGTGAGTTAAATTAGAACGTGTTTATTTGAGGTCCAAGACTACCAATTGATGAGCATCCATGGGATCTTGTATGGTTGTTGACATGAAATACGATGTCTTGCCGCTTCTTCCAATTTGAGAAATGAAAGATGAATGTAAAATGTTTATTCCTGAGGAATTCCTCATGAGTTTACGAAATAAAATTAAAGGTTCTGTAGACACTGACAATGTGTAGACCTTACTCTTTTGAGCATCGATATGGATCAAACTGGGCATGAGATGAAGTCAGGTTAATTTAGTTGCAAAGGTAACCTGCTTGGAATTGTATTGGTAATGATCTCTCATAAGAGCAAAGTTCAACTCCGCACTACTCCTCCCCCTGTCTTTTGATGAACCAAGCTCTGAAAGATTGTTAGTCAAACTCAATCCAAACATTACGAACCTCATTGTAAGGTTCAATCAAGAAGCCAGTTGTAACGTGAAATTCCGTCTCATACAAACCTGTAATGCGTTTAAATTGTGACGAAACTGTAATCTATGGCTGCTTGTACGGCTTGTTGACTGTAAAGTCTAAGTGATGTAGTCCAAACACATCATTCTAACAGTGAGCTAGAAATTAGGAAGTGTGGCTCATCTCATCCCTCTTAAAATCTCTTCGTTCTACATATGACTTGCAGTCGTACCACATGAAAAAAATTCCAGAGAATTTGCTTACTAGTTGAATGCCTAATGGTTGCTCACGTGTGTGTTTTGTAGTCATGAGCTGTATTTTTCTGGCAAACATCCTACTTTAGCTCACCAATGCTGACGGTTTGCGAAAGCTTTCGACCAAACTTTGGACAGTCTCAGATTGAAAGGAACCGCACATAGACACAACAATAAACCCTTTCTTGCAACTGGTCAAACATAGGTGTCTGTTTCTTAGCACTTTATTCATTATTCATAAATAAACTATCGTTCGTTTGATGTATAAGTGAGTTCGCTGTTGCAATAATCACCGAAATAACGCCAATAACCCTTCACGCAGTTGAGGTTCAGTTGTTTTCTTCTGTCATATGTATTGTTTAACAGTGGGGAATTTCCCATTTGGGTTAGTCGTACAAAATTGGAACACGTTTGCATCTGTGCGTTATGACCGGTGAAGCACACTACAAAGCCGTTCTGTTCTCTTTGATAAAAATCACTGGTGCATACCATTTTCTTGTACCCCCCCCCTCCAGGGGGACTCGAACTGTGAAACGTCCCATTAAGAGACGAAACCCTCCCTATGAGCCACACGGTTACCTGCTAAACACATGGAGTGCATGGTTCTATTACATCGGACATAATTCATTTGCGTGGATCATCCGAATTGAACAAGAAATCCATTTAATTACTGTCGTCCATTTCAAATATAACCTAATTTACTGTAGGACATAGATCAACTGGCTCCATTGCGACATTGTACGGAGAAGTCAATGGTTTTAAGAGCTTTTCTGTATTTTCAGATACATTCAAATCCACCGTCAATAATGAGTATGAAGATATCAGGTACGATACTTTTCATGCTCATTCACTCCGAGTAAGAAAAGCTGATCTAAGTACCATATCTATGCAAAATATCTCCGTTGCCTTTATAACTCATTACCTAGTCTTATAAGACGAGAATGTGACCCAAGGGTCAGGATTGTTTACTTTTTCGAACCGGTATCCTAAACTAATAAAAACGAGCTATTACTGTTGGATATTTGATGTCGGCCTGAATAGTACTCACGATATTTGGGGCAATAATCCTGGAATTTTCTTGAGTGCTCCGAATGTACAGTGTACAGTGTACGAGGAAGATTATGTTTTCTCAGGCTAGTGCACTTTACCGAGTGCTGTTACCACATTCGTTCAGATAGTTAACACGTTGAATAGCCCAGAAAAAGTAATACTGAGCTGATATTCATCTTCAATATAATTCTCAACCAATAATTCACAAAATACCACTTAACCAGGAAGCTTTCCCATTTTGATTTTCCAGAAAATGGAATTTAATTTGCAGATTTTTAAGAGCCCAATTAAGGATAAACGATCAGTGAGATTGTTTCTCAGACTGTTATACCACGTTAACACAGGGATTCATTTTTTCCAATACTCTATTGATTTTCACCAGTCATAATGTCCACAGATTAGTTGACTGGTTTTGCACAAGTTCCCTCGAGATTCTGGATGCTATTCACTCAAACGGGTCATCCGTTTTGGCGAAAATCCTGATACCAGGATCGCTTCCGCCTCGGGACAATATGAAGCATTACACTCGGTATGCGATAGTTATCGAGGAATTTTTCCCGTGATTTCGGAAAAGGAAATTCCAGTGCTACTACTTCTTTGTCAGGATGCATGAGCATTAAATCGTCACCTGTTTTCTTCCACATTCTATGGACATCAGTGTTAGTGAATTGGAAAGAATCATGCAACAATTGTTCAACTGTACTAAAAAATCTTTTACTACTTTTTCTCATTGAGTTTTAGCATGATACTATATTTATCAAAATACCAACAAGAATCGGTGATCAGTGTAAACAATGTTAAAAACTAATCACTGAAAATTGACCAAATTACCACGTTCGTACCTAGGATGACTCCAGAAATAGTCAGATTGTCAGGCTTCAGATGAAGTTGGAGGTGCATCCCATGATTGGGCTTACTCCGTGGTGCTTGTTTTTGTTTACGCTCTATACGGTAAATTATATAAATGTCGGTAAAAGTTTTGCTCAGCATTGAAGCTCGTGGTGTGGATGGGTGGGTACGCATAGTGTAGCGGGAAACACGAGTAACTCCAAACAGACATTTGTCATCCTTTACTGCCACTTGGTGCTTTACATCTCTCACGCGTCCCCAGTTTGACCTTGTTCCCGGATAGTGACATAATAATTCTGACAGGAAGTGAATCGCGTGTTGCGGGGGTGGGTGGGTGGTGGCGAGAAAAGTAGACAGTTGGTGGTGTGGGATGAGGCTGAAAGTTGGCTGGTTAGAGACGGAAACCGGGGGGTGAGTCCAGTGGAATTGGATTGGATGAGACACAATCGGAAAGTAGAATCGCTTACAATTGTTGGGTTAGTTTGAGGTCAACGCAAAGGCGCATTAGTGGAGGGTCTTGAAATGAGCGAGCGGATACCGACCTTGAGACTTTGAAAGTGATTTTTTTCCNCGGCAATTTGGGGTCATAAGTGGCAACTGTTGAATACCGATTGCGAAGAAAACGCGAAAGTAAGAAAACCGCAAACATATATTTGTTAACTAGAGATGAAAATGGCGCGACTAAAGGCTCGAAAAATTGATATCAGGTGAATCTCCAAGATATAGTTTTCGGTAGACCAGTCATGATGTTTTACTTATTTCTGCTTCCTAGAAGTCAGCTAGTCGGGTTGACAATAGTGAGGTCACTGAACGTAAGATCATTCTGTGAAGCGGCTTTAGTGAGTTTATCTATGACATATTTGCGCACACGGCTAATTTAAGCGAGAAGTACGTGACATGATCGGAGTATGATAGTCAAGTTGGAAGTAAAGTGAACGTGGTATGAAAGCTACGCGGGGTGTTCTTGTACGGTACTTGCGATTTCCCGGGTTCTATAGTCAGTTGGGTCGAGAAAATGTCACATTGGAGATTTTAGGGCTCCATAATTGATAAATCAAGTAGCATACTGGATGGACGGAAGCATCTGCTTGATGAGCGTGTGTGCCGCATGTTTAGCAAAGTGGTAACAACACGTTGACAAAAAATATTATGAAATAGGTGAGGGAAGGTGCGGGGATTGTGTGAAAAGCTACTAATGACTTGGGTGTTAATTGGGAAAAATCACTATAACTGATAGTGTGAGTCGACAGTTCATAAAGAAGAAAGTGATGTGCGAGAATATTTGGTTATGCTTTCCTATGACACAGAAAACACCATTATTTCAGCTGAGATTTCACATTACTAACTGCCCTCTATTTATCATCTGTTCGGATTTTGTGTGGTGATGAGGTAGTCATATCCTCAGATCTAATCTAATTTTACGGAACTGAGTTGCTTATAATTCTGCCGACGCGAGGCTGCATACTGCTCAGTTAATGGTTTAGATAAACGTCCTGTACTTTGTCCGATACCGTGACCAACANATCCTGTTACACTCACAATGTAGGGACGCAAAGTGAAGCAACGGGCCCTTCCTGGTGGCCTAAGCACTTTTCTCCGATTCACGACGTATGCCACGCCGATGTGCGAGTTTATTTTACGGTTCGAAATGGATGAACTATTGAACTTTTACAGTTTCCCATGCATTTTGGATAAATGAACGAAAACGGAAAGAGTTGGACAAGGAGAATCCACCAACCCCACTGAGTTCTCTTGGAGGTCAGCCAGTAAACATTGTCATCAGCAGAGGTTCTCTCACAATTTTATTCCTGGTCTAAAAAGTGTAACAGTAACTGCTGTGAATGGTATGCACAATAACTGGGGAATGAATGTCGAAAAAAATTGAGGAATTCACATCGAGGTTATTTACTTTCTTAGGTTATCTTTTATGTTTATATGAACAAATCTACGACGAT